GCAGCTCCTGCTATGTGGTCAGAAAAGTGGATGCATCCACACCAGTGCATCCTCTCTGGATCCACCCTTGGGTAGAAGTAATCCTTCTCTACCCACACGGGTTGGAGAAGCTGTTTGCCAAAAGCTTTGTGTCTTGTAGATGGAAAGTGCTACAGAAATGCAGAGCAGTATGTAAATGTAATTCTTCTGCTCAGGGAAGAATGCAGTGTGATATTTAAGGGCTTGGATTTTTAAATGCATGTGGTTGCTTTATTATTAGCTGTATCTAAGTGGGGTAGGTCTGCTAGGTGTTCAGGGAGTATGTGTTTGTAGGGGAGGATGGGGGCTGTCACATAGTCTATTTTCATCCAGTCCAGGGCAGGGAAGGATCTGGCCATCCTCCTGTGTGTTTCTCTATGAGAATATGGAATTACCTGTTTGCTTTTTTCCTTGTCCTGGTACAGGGTTCCACACCCTGACAGTCCCCACCTGGCGACCTGTGGAGCTGGGGACAGTCTCTGAGCTGAGGAGGTTTTTCATTGGTGGCTCCCCTGAACTGGAGGACATGACTTATGTCAGGGTGCCAACAACCTTCAAGGCAGGTTTCACCTCAGGGGTTGTTTTGCTCCCTCACAGGGGGCTACAGATTCTGTTCCTCCCATGGGAAGTCACTGAGGGCATCCTGGGCCAAATTCATGCAGGGATGAGCTGAGGTTCCAGCCATGGGAGCTTTCTTGAACCCATCCTGAGAACTGGTCCCCTTCTGGATAGCCTGAACATGGACCAAAATATAGGTGGATCAACATGGCTGAGCATTCCCTTGTCAAGGGGTCCTGCGAGGAGTTCTTGTTTATGTGAGGCTTGCAGTACCACTCCTGGCCTTGGCCTGCCTTCTCAAGGGTGGTGATTGGTTCAGCACTGTTCACAGCAGCACTAAATTCCTTTATATAAGGGCAAGTGTGATCCCTTCTCTTGTATGGGTTGGGATTACGCTTTGAAGAGAAGAGTAGAGTTTAACCTTTCCCCCCACTACACTGTCAGCTTCCCGAAGAGCCCTGTCCTTAGTACAGCTGAAAGCTGTGTCTGCACTTCACAGTACCTTCTGGGAAGCTGACATCCAAGCTTCTGAACTGCTTCAGAACAGGGAGACTCCATGCACCAGTGCTGCCCATATCCTCTTGAAAGCGATCCCTTTCCCTGGGGGTCAGCTTGGCTTCACCAGCTGCAGGCAGGACTGCTTTAATTTGTCTTATACCCACAGGGAGAGCGTCTGAGCCGCTTTGGCTTCCGCACAGAGACAACAGGGAGCGTCACTTTCCGGCTTCACTGCTTGCAACAATCCAAGTAAGTGGTGCCACATCTCCCAGTTTGTGTGCTGGTGGTTCTAGACATAACCCAGTTCTCTGTTTCCATGCAGGGCCTTCTTAGAGTCCAGTGCTCAGAGGACGCGCATGCAGAGTGTGCTGGACCGGTTGGGAGGCTTCAGCCAGCAGAGCTCTCTCTACACTGTCCTCGGTGAGTTCTTTCTTTGTCTTGGCCAAATGGGGAACCTCTGGTTCACTTTGCTTACTTCAGAAGAAGGGGAGGAGGGATTGGTGTGTTTCAGAAGAAACCATTATTGTGTAGAGGGCCCCTCTGGCTTTCCTCCCTGCAGAGATTTTTTGACTGAATGCAGAAGAACAGAGGGTAAACAAGTGCATGAAACATCAGTTTCCAGTGAGTAGCACAACAGAGTTTCCACTAGGGTAAAGCCTTTGCTGAGCTAGCAAAGTCAGTGAATGATCAGCCTGATCAGCTCATCTTACAGGCAGGCACTGACTTCAGAGAAGAGCCTTGCTGTTCTATGTCTCATGCAGTGGAAATTGGAGCAGAAGTACCCCTTAGCTCTGACAATGATATAATATGCAGCTAGCATGGGGTACTGCAGCATGGAGCCAAAATTGGTTGTGGGGGAGGAGGATGAAGAGAGATAGCTGTGGTCTCATGCTTCACTGAGGGTAAAGTTAGTCAGCCAGTGAACTCTCCCCATGCAGAGAGAGAAAGAGATGGTGTTAGCCAGATGAGATAGTCTGTCTTGAGGAGGGGCTGTCTTAGCTAGCATGCTTCCATAGGTGCTGAATCAGTCTCGGTTGCTTTGTTGCAGAGGCATTCCAGAAGGCACGGCGACGGATGCAGGAAGCACGTGAGAGCCTTCCTCAGGACCTGATCAGCACCTCTGCCTCCACTGTGTACCAGCCATAACTATCCTGCTACTCTACTGGACGGAAGCCTAGCAGAACTTCCCTCTGCTAGAAGTACCTCTTATACTACACATGTTAATAGTGGCATAAATGGCAAGGATGTTACACATGCATTCAGTTTAAGGAGCCATAAAATGGTAAACCAGCCATAAAGGTGTAGAACATTTTCTGGCTGGTTTGTATGGCACCTTAAATTGACTGTATGGCAGATCCAGCCCCAGGACCAAAAAGCAGCTGGTTATCGGCTCCAGCCCAGCCCCAGACTTGTGGGTATCCAGCTTTCAACTTGCTGGTATTGGGGGAGTCTTGGATCATGATCCCTGGCAAGTAAAAAGGGCACAATTAGGGTATGATGTGGCATGGCAGGAGGTGTGATTGTTGGGATTCGGGATCAGCTCCCATGGTGTCATTAACGAAATGTGTGTCAGTGTCCATAGTCTCATCTCCTGCCCTTTAAAACTTTACAACTACTTCCTGCTGCGCTTGTCTGGGGGAAAGGAGACTAGGATGCCCACCCCTTAAATTTTTCCCTTGTATCAGTACTGGCATAAGTAGAGGGAGCAATTTCCCTTTCAGCTGACTACCTTAAAATCCCATTTGATGCTCCATGTTAGAGTCAAAACCACAACCTGCCTTGGAGCTGGATGTATCCAGCTGTGCCTGGGACCCTGCTTGGGAGGGTAATGAGTTGCCAGGCTGGCCTTGGTGCTAATGTCCAGATACATCTGTTTAGAGTATTCCATACGTGGTTTGATACGAGGTGAAGCTGTCATGCTGATCATGAGAGAGATTCAGGAAGCCTCCAAAAGCTGAGCATGGACCTCAGGCCTTAAGCCCTGGAGATAGTAGCCCCCTTCCTTCTTGGGAGTGGTGTCCAAGAGAGGTTTTGCATAGAACCCAGGGCAGGCTTTACCCTGCTTCCTGTGACCCTCCCACCAGCAGTTCCTTTCTGCTAGCCCTTCATCAAAAGCCATCAGTGCAAACCAAGCTTGGACCATGGGTTCGTCTAAGAGTGCCAGTATTGCATCAAGAAGTGTGAGCACATATGCATTATGCTGCAAGTCCTGCCCTGATTAAACTCAGTCATTCCATGATCTGCCTGCTGCAGATGTACAGCAGGGCAATGATGGAAGGTTAACGATGCAGGGTGAGGATTCTAACTCAGATGGTTCAGACAACACCTTAGCAGTTTTATTGCATGACTAGATGGCAGTTCTCTTTGCCATGAAAACTCACTTTCGGTCATAGCTGGAGCTTTGTTACCAAAAGCTTTGCAAAATCTTTGCTGGATTTTTGGCAATTGGCAAATCTCAGCTACATTAGTAACTGACATGTTCTCTCTCCTGTAAGAAGGTGGTTGGAGGTTGTGGGATTGTGCTACTGCAGATCTGTGTAATGAAGTATGTAGGACCTGGACAAAGGACTGTTACTGTTAACAATAAGCCTATGTAGAAGTTGGGTTGTCACTAAAATTGATTGTCTCCATCTGTGTCTTATGACTGGGTCATTTCTCAAATGAAGAGCTGTTTATCTACACATCTTGCATGCAACCAAAACTTACAAAGAGTCAGACATATTATGGACATGCCAGGTCAGGTGCCTTGTCCCCTGGCCTGTGTCTCCAGAGCTCCAAGAAGAGTGCTTGAAATGACTTCCCATCATCACCTAAACTGCAGGGGAGGAAGGGACAGAAGTCTGCTGTTCTGAGTGTTTAACTGTCTTAAATGCAAAACCATCCTTTCCTTTCCAGTCAGCTCTGGCAACTCTAGTCACTTTCCAGTTCCTACACATACCAGCCTCCTTCATTGTAAAACTCTGATTCATTTCACCAGCAGTAGTAGGCATCTGTCTGTCTCACAAGACAGAAGAATTGTGCTGAGTCATCAGCTTGCTGAACATCTGCAGATGTGACTGTACAGCCCAATTCTTGAGTGACAGTCCCTTCCATAGTTTTCAAATTTGAAGTTTGTATCAAACAATACCAAATGTGGTGTGGGGTTCTTCCTGAGGTTTCTCAATTGCAGGGAGATGAGAATCAGTGAATATGCAGTGATTCATTTACAAGATCCCCTTGGGAATCTCACCAACATCACAGTGTAATCACTGTCACTGTTCCCCTTCTTCCCCATTCAGTACAGTCTCTCCTTCCACCCCTTTCTCTCTTTTCCATTTTGATGCTACAGAGAAGGCCCCTCTGATCTCTTGGTGGATGTGGCTGCTCTAGGAATTCACTTTCAGGTCTGTCTTGTATCTGACCTGGGGGAATTTTCTCAGTCTACTCTTAAGCTCCCCATCCTCCTGTCACCATACAGTGCTGGGGGCCTGGGGAGCCAGGATTCATGGGCAGTTGTTTCCAACTAATGCCTTCAATATGTGTGATTGCTTTCCGGATAGAGTTACATGCATGATGGTCATTGCCTAGTGTCACCAGGCATCCAGCTAACACAGAACGATGCTTTTGGTTTTTGCTTTTTCAGTTATTTCACCAGAGACTGTAATGGGGCCCCTGTCCTACCACTGAAGAGAGAAGCCAGGGTTCAGCTGGCCAGCTCCAGCCTTCTGGACAAACTGATGAGGCAGAGGGCCCTTTAATAAAATGGCCCACCCCAAGTGCAGCCAGCACTGTGTGGCCAGTGACTGGCAGGCCTGGGGCAGAAGTAGTGGGTCAGGTGAGAGAAAGGAATATAAGCCCAGGCCTGAGGCAAGGGGGTTAGTGTGGCCCTGCAGCCTGCCAGGAATGGGGCTGTGGGAGGAGAGGGCCCTGACTGCCCAAGAAGAAAGGACTTCAGACTTCAGGGAAGCTGCAAGGAAGCTCCTGCATGAACAGGCAGCAGGGATAAGTATTTTGGGCCTGGTGCTATAGCTTGTTGCCACAATGCTGTTGACCCAGGGTTGGGGGAATCTTTTGTTTGGGAGCAGATGCTCACATTTCTCTTTGTGTCGATAGACCGGAGAACCAGCTGTAGTTGTAGGGGAGGAGGATGCTACCAAGAAAAATGCCAGGGGCACCCCAGGTCCTAGACCCTCCAAAGAGGGCGAGTGCTGCTGTTTGCAGAAGGACTGCGGTGTCAGATAGTAAAGATGGGTTGAAGGCCCAGAACCCACAAAGGGGGAAGCCAGGGCTGGGGGCCCCAAAGCCTGTGAAGGGCAAGGCTGGGACCTGAAACAAAACCCTCTGCCCTCTAGGGACAACCTCCCTATCCAGTTATAACTGCAAAGCATGGCAGAGAGACAACATGGTGGGACCCTGAGAGGTCAGAAGGGGTGAACAAGTCAGGATCCAGGCAGCTGCTAGAGAGTGACTTCGTTCAGTGCCACACATGCTACAGAGACCCACTGCATGTTTTGCAGGCATGTGGTTTTGTAGTGAGAGCAGAGAACATAAAGAGATATGGCTCTTGGGTCCTTTCCCAAATTAGCTGTCTCAAAAGTGCTGTATTCTCTCCACCTGGGAAACAGGGATGACAGTATACCCTATCTCACAGATGGAGTGATACTTGTGTTCGTGAAATACTTCATGGGCTCTTTGAGATCCACAGACCCGAAGTGTCAGAGTGATGTGGCATAAGTTCTTATGCACGAGTTTAGACAAAACATCCTTTCAGGATTCTTGTTTTTATACACATGGAGGAACACCTGCCCAAATACTAAGAGCAGAAGGCAGGACCGGGAAGCCCATTTAAGCTAAGTTGCTCCACCTTGCAGACTGGAGAGGTTCACCCAGCAATTTCTATCACAGTCTTGGGGTTGAATCAGAGCACATTGTGCTGATGTGTTCAGTGATTTGCATTCCCAACTTCTATATGGCCAGAACATCTCGCTTCACACAAGCAGGATCATTGTGCTGAGAGTATAAGGACCGCAAACAAGCCTGACAACAGAAGTGGGGAAAAGATTTTCTTCTGCATTGTGACCTTGTGGTCCCTTCAAGATGCATTTAGGGTTTGAGTCAAAGCCCACTGAGGTTGATGGGACTCTTTTTATTCATGTCAAAGAGCTCTGGAGCTGACCTTAATTCAAGGCTCAGGTGGTTCTGGCCTTTACCATTTCCACATACAGAATCCTGAGCTCTGCCGTGGCAAAAGGGACTAGCTTAGAGGTCTCTGTTTTGGTTTTTGCCCATAGCTGGCTTGACACAAAGAGGTGGGAATTCTATGGGAAGCCGCCTGTGAGTGCTTCTAGAGCTTTTGGATTAAACTGCTTCCCCCTCTCCACCAGCATGGCTGTTAGCTACGCCCTGCCCAGATGTGGACAGGAAAGGGGAGCAGCAGAACACACAACTTCCCCATTAAATCCATCTCACCTCCACCAGCCACAATACACATCTCTGCTACACCCAAGAGCAGATTCAGTCCCTGAATCTCTCCTTCCTGGCCCACTTCCATCTCTTCCAACTGGCCCCCACACAATCCATCTCCTCTTCTGCTTTCACTAAAAGGTGGAGCTGAAACTGTTTTTGGCTAGACCTCTGGAAATCTGGCTGAAGTATGGGCCAAACTGAACCGTGCCAGAGAAACTTATTGCAGAGACAAGAACCTGTCCTTGTGCCCAGATCCTTCTCTGTAGTTCACAGCCCAGTTTTTTCTGTAACGGCAGATGGTGGAATGCAAATGGGGCCGTAAGGGCTTTTTCTGCCATTCAGGCCCTGGAGGTGGGCCCCAGCCCAGCACCCACACAGGGCTCTGAAACTGGGCCCTTCCCATGACACAGAGCAGGGAGACACTTAATAGATCTCCAGCCACTGGCACAGAGCCCTTTGCTCTCTGGGGAGCTATTGAAAAATCACTTAAACAGGGGAGGCCCTTCTGGGGTCCCAAGGAGCCATGGGTTCCCACCTAACCAAGGTCACTGTAATCCAAGATCTTTCCTCTCCCATTAGAAACCACTGCCACACTGGAGATATGCTGGTGCAGGTTCCAGGTGTGGAGGATAAAGAAGGACAGTACAATTGCTGTTACTTCATTACTGCTCATCCTCATGTGCCTGCCCCAAGCTGTGATGTGAGTATCCCCACAGGGAAAGGAAAAAGATGGAGATTGGGGATGAGATGGTGAGGAAGAAGGCTGCCTGGTGCAGCAAGATGAGCGGAGCGGAAAGGAAGGAAATGAGCCCAAGGGATGGAAAGGAACTGATGCGGGGTCCCTGAGGGAGGGGTTGACACAGTGAGCTAAAGAATGGGCAGGTGGATGCACCTATCCAAGCAAGGCTTCTTTCCTAGTGACCCAATTCCTTGCAGGTGAACTTCCCCATCCTTTCCTGTTGCTCCCTGAGCTACCCAGCACATATTTGGATTAAGTGGCATGAAGCATCTGGGCCTCCTCAGGCTGCCTGTGCCCTAGGCTTGCATTATCCCTGCTTGCTGGGCAGGAGCAGAGCACAGCCATGGCACTGACAGACACAATGGCACTCAGCCATGAGGTATTTTCTAAGGAATTAAAAGCTTCAGGGTGCTGAGAATCTAGGCCCGAGCCTTCTAGTGGGATGGCTCCTGGGCTGTGGCTGCTACAGCTGTGAACACCTGGCACAGCTAGGGTGGCCATCATCAAGGACATTCTGGTTTTCTGCTACTCTGTCCTCTGTTGTCAAGAGAAAAATAGAGGACATAAAGGTATCTGGTTTTGTATCAATAGAGGACAGAGGACAACTGGACTGTCCTAGGCACAGCCACCCTAGGCACAGCCTAGAGCACTGGCTCTATGTGCGTAGTAACACTTAGAGCCCAGCTAGGGCTAGAGATGCCTTCAAGTGGTTGTTGAGAGATGGACCCTTTTTTTGCACACACTGCTGTGCCTAGGCGGGGCTGACTCTTCTCAATGGGATATGAAGTAGGAGCCATGCCGGGGCTGTCAAAGCAGTTGCATGGCCTCAGAGGTGGATGTGGGTTTAGAGCCAGGCATGAGGGGATGACTCTCCAGAAGCTGCATGGCCAAGTTTCCAGAGGTTTGGCCCCCACCATCAGGCCTGTTCAGAGGATCCTTGCAGCTTACATGCACCAAACCACCTGACTTCTCTGAGGCCTTGGCTCCAGCTCAGTTCATGACATGACACTTTTGAAAACCCTTCCTGCAGAAGACCACTATGAATACATATCCTTGTCACTTCTAGCAGCCATGCATCCTGCTACAGCTTCTTGCTGCTGCACTTAATGCTTCTCCTTGTGATTTTGCAGAAGAAGCTGTTGAGACATTCATAAATGCCGCTCCCTTTTCCATCCTCAGCTGGATAAGAGGGGAAACCTGGAGATTCACCCCAAGCTAGAACTCACCAGCTGAGCTGTGCCAGCCTCTGTGGACATAGTGGAAGTGGGGTGGGTCTTTCTGACTTTACTGAATGCCTCTAACAAAAAAACACATTCCGTCTGCCCTTTCCCTGTACAGGATCAGAGACTTCATGCAAAATGTTGATGGGTCCTAGACTTGGCTGATCATAATGGAAGGTTCTGGCTGGGGTTGATGCTGGTGCTGGCAGCCTAGAGGAATGCAG